AAAAAAAAACGAGTAGCACTTCCAGGGTTGGGGGTTCGATTCACACACGTTCACTGCCTGCGTGTGTTTGTGTGCATGTGCGTGAGCAGATTTTGCATGTTCTTCCCGCGTTTCGTTCGAATACTCTGGTTCCCTTCCACGGTTCAGAGACACGCAGTTCAGGTAAATTGGGCCTCTCCGAATCGCCCACAGAGTACGACAGTGTGTGTGCCCTGCAGTCACATGGCACCCTAAGCAAGGTGTCCCACAGCCCGGTGCACTGTACTACCTCCTGGTCAGGGATACGGATGGAATACGGACGGATGCTAAATGCAGTCTGAATGTGTCTAGTTTAAATGCTGTATTCAAATGCCTGCGACAGACTCGCGCCCCTTTCCCATCTCCCAGGAGTTCGAGGAATGTTAATATGGTGTACAAGAACGCAGGTGGTCCAGCATTCAGAAAGGAGAGAGAGTGTCACTGCAGAGAGCTTTAAAGACAGATTCACTGACACCATCTCAAGGATGACAAAGACCATAAAACAGGGGGAGCCAAAAAATCATTTCAATTATCCGTTTACCGAGGCTTTCATCATCAGTATAGTTCCACTGCACAAATTGTGCGAGTATCTATCCCAGCACAGAGGAGTATATATCATTTTTTTAGTTTTCTGACATCTGAAGCTGTAATTGACAGCCAATCTGGAACTGCGGCACCATCATTTCCATTTATTTGCATTTTACATTTAAGCCACACGTTTATTTTTGTGCTCGCATAATGGCCAGCGCAGAAAGGAAGTTAAATTATAAAAAAGCACCCTGAAACTAATGACCACAGTTGTTTTTTTGTTTACTTTTTTTTTTTTTCATTTTTAAAAGCAATTAGCTGTATTCATTTGAGCCTTTTGTCCAGGATATTTTTTAATGGCGCACGCCTTCTGTTCAGCTGTAAAAATGAACATTTGCTTTCTTACTACATTGTGGGCTGCACTTGGGGACCACAAGTGAGAAGCAGTATGTTGGCTAAGACCAGATTAGTGACGTTAAGGCCCCTGGTTATGGATGCCGAAACAGCCTCGCTGTTGTACCTTCAAGCCTGACACTAAACGAACAACTCAAGCAACGGCAGCCATCTTCACTAGTGGGAAAACCTACCGGTTCCTTTGGCCTTAAGTGTCAGCCATAAACTCATCGCTTCCGAGCCGAAACCCTCTTAAAGAACTACACTGATATTTCATTAACTCAAAGACAAGCCTCCGACATATTTACTCAGCAAAAGGTGACATTTACATTTTATTTAGCAGATGCTTTTATCTAAAGCAAGACACGCACATATTTTTCAAAAAGCAGGGTCAGACAATCCCTATAGCAACTGGGGGGGTTAAGGGCTTTACAAAAGGGCGAAATCACTCGCTGGCCGCGGGATGTAACCAGTGACCTTCCAGTCACAGACACTAAGTTCTAAGCCACTGAGCCACACACAGCCCCCAAAGGAACACCATGGAAGTTTGAGCCATACAGAGGAGAGCCTTCCATTATACAGGCACACACACACACACACACACACACAGAGCTGGAGATTCTCACCTGCTGTCCAGTGCTGAACTGGCTGTGCAGTTTCTGGTGAAAGAACTCTGTCAAGGTCCGGTTCTGCCTCTCCAGATCGAACACCCGCATTTTCAGCTTAATGCACTCTTCTCGCAGGTCCTAGTACACATGCACACAAATATAATTTTTTTTTAAAGTTATTGAAGAGAAAAGAGACCCTTCTCCACATCTGGAGCAGCTAACATTTGTAAATCGGAAGAGTTTGCGGAAGATCTAATGCTGTGTGTATTGATTGCTAAGAATTTAACAATTGAACATGCTTTATTTGCCATTTGCACAGATAAAGCATCTCCTTGCTGACCCCATCATGCCATCAGCTTGGGGGTAACAGCGCAGGGACAGCTAATGTTCAGCACCCCAGGAACTGGGGGTTAAGGGCCCTGCTCAAGGGACCATGGTTCTGCTGGGCCTCGAACCAGTGACCTTCTGATCACAGACGTAGCCTGCTGAGTCACTCACTGGTCCCAAAAATAACTGATGCTTTATTGATCCTCGTGGGGAAATTCTCTTTATGCTTCCCCCAACTTGCTCACCCCTAACCTGCCACGAGGGGCAGCCACCTGTTGCGGCATGCATGCTTGAGGGCTTCGCTCAAGGACCCGCAGATGTGCCGAGGCCAGGCTCAAACTGGCGACCTTCCGATCACAAGCACAGAGGCTTAGCCCACTGGGCCACACCCTGCCCTGTTTGTTTGGACACTCAAACACTCGACACGTCTGCGTTTTAAACCCGTTCAACACAAACAACCACACACTGGCCAGCACTATGACATGCATCATGCATCATGAGAAAGGATTAAGCTACAGAAAGAGCTGCCAGGCTGGATTTTTCACCCTTAGATAAAGGATGAACTCTCTCACAGAATGGGCAGAATAGCATGTTCCTCACCTTCTGGTTGAGTAGAGCTTGTACAACATGATTGGCCACCTTTAAAACAAAAAAGACACATGGAGATGTATTGGAAACACCATTAATACACAGAAGGAAAGTAATGATCTTTTACCAGAGTTAACAAGGCTGATTAGATGCATTAAGAACACGGCGTTGGGTGCACTAATATCACACACACCTCTAATCAGGCGCATTAACCTACTGCACACTTACCTCATCCAGGCACCTTTCATACGCCTCTCTCTGGCTCTCGTTTGCTAAAGCTAATGCAGAGTTTTCTGCCTGTGAAGGTCGGGGAAGGAGAAAAAACAATAGTTTTTATTAAAGACATTTTACGGTGTATATAATAAGCAGATGCTTTCATCCAAAGCGGCATACTTTTTTTATTTTTATTTTGAGAAAGTAGGACAGTCCTTGGAGCGACTGAAGTTAAGGCCCAATGGTGAAATGATTCTGCCGACCCTGGGATCTGAATCAACGACCTTCTGTTTAATAACATTTTCAGTAGTCTTTAATCTGGGTTACTTTCAAAAGCTGTTTTCATTGGGTGAGACCAAGATTCCCCCGGACATTCGGACCTAGAATTTGTATGAATTGATTGAGATCATTTGAGAGGGAACCGTAGGTGGAATTGAGGAATGTCTTTGCAGCATTGAGCATCTCGGACTTGGAGAGAAAACAGTTTTCCCAACCCTGAAAACAGGTGTGAGACACTGCTCTCACCTGGCACACAAAGAGCCGAGTCTTTAAGCAAAATTTAAACAACAGACAATCCCAGATGCAACCATAACGCAAAGTGAGGACAATTTTTTAAAATAATCAAAATAAAAAGAGCAGGGCTGGATAACACTTGGGCCCCTTTCCGCAGCAAAGTCCAGGTTCGAGCAGAGTAATGGTGCGATTTTCTCAAATGTTTATTCACACATTCAATTTTCCATTCACTTATCTTTGAATTTTTCAAGAATGCTTGAAATCAAATAAAATAAAGGCTACCAAGAGCAAACATTTTTTAGATGACTTTGGAAGCTATTTTAGAAAGGTAGACGAGCCAATTAGACTCTGATGTTCAGCTTGAGTTGACGGCCACAGAGTCAAAGGACTGTAAGCCGAACACTCACTGATTGTAATCTTGTTGAGGATTAAATTGTATTTGTGGATCAGGGTTTGCTGAAGACAGAGCAGAACGAGCTGCTAGCAACTGGAACAAAGCAATGACGATGTAAACGACGCACCGTGAACCTTCATCTAAAGTAACAAGCCAGAGAGAGAAGCAGCATGGGATTTATGTCCCCCCAAGAGACACGGTGGCGGCAGGTGGGGACGGTTTGGGGGGGATTCCTCTCGTCATTCACACTTTGGCAGAGGGTTGTATAAATTTGAACTCAAATTCAATACAGCATTTTTTCGTAACGCTACACAGTTCAGTGGACAAGCGTGAAAAATGTGAAACCCACAGCGCCACAAGAGTCAATATGATTAAAATGAAATAGACATTAAGGACCCGCTGAGGGCAGGTGACAGTACTTAACCTGATCAAGGTCAAACAGAGACGTTCTGTTAGTAACTCATGTTAGGCTAGATCTTTTTTTTTAATCAAGCTCTCACCATCTTTCACTTAGGGAACCTAAAAAAACTTTTTTAAAAAGAAGTACTACCAAGCAATTACTATAAATACATCATGTTGACTGACAGACAGACAGACAGACATCATGCAACTTACTAGTTCAAAAGGTTTTGAACTGAGGGACCACAGAAACATTTTTGGGAAATTTGATAAAATGAATCATCGATACTCTCATACATACTATGCAATCCATGATACAAAACCTCTGGCACCATCTCACAGCAAATTAAAAAAGAAATAACAAAAATTCCTAGTTTATTTCTTTGCTATTGATTACAAAAACCCAAAAGGCAAGTAGTGTCCAACCTCACAAGTGGGTGGAACAATACTGGCAGCGGAAAAACTAAATACAGACAGGAAAAATCTCATTAACTGTATGTCCAACAACAAAGAAAGTCTTTAGGCAATGAAAAAAAGGACACAGGTTTTCATTTCAGTACTGCCAGACTGAGATCTGTTAACCAAAAGGATCTTTGATGTATGGCCTCACTGTGTGCAAGTGAAACGTCTTATCCGTGCATATGCTTATTGCTGTGAAATGTAAATGATAATATGTATAGTACAACTATATACAAAAAGAGAGACAGAATGTTGGAAATCTGGACTCTACCTTTAATTTATGCCCTATAACTAACAATGGTTTCCAAATAATGACTGTAAAGCCATAGTGCCACAGATATCTTTAAATCAAGACATAGTTCAGTTTGTTTTATAGCGAAATACCCCTATAATGCATTCTGTTTAATAGTCTACAGAGGAGGAAACCGTAAATCCGCCACTATCCTTGCATGAAGCCTTTTCCATGACGTTTGATTGGGCGTGATTGGCTTTGAATGCTAATCGAAATGACACAAAGCAAAAATGACAGTCAAGACAATTGCTCAAAAAATTCCCTTGAACCATCTTTTTAATTAAAGAGCATCATTTAAAAATAAGAAAAAAAATATCCCTATTCAAAAAAACAGCACACACTATACTAAAGTCTTAATTTAGAGAGGAGCACTTCTTTGTATGAAAAACATTTTATATTTTGGGAAACTTAAACCCCAGCTGGCTATAGTTTGTATTTGCACTCAGTACCACACAAAGTATACTCTGGCATGACGCAAAAGGCCCTTTGTGAGCAGAGGTGTCAGACGGCGAGGTCACCCAGATCCACATTTACCTCCAGCTCCCTCAGCCTCTCCAGCAGCTCCCTGCTGCTCTCCAGTTCCTCCAGGAACGGCTCAACATCGCCCTCTTCTGACTCCAATGCCTCATCACAGTCTCTGGGCTCGTTGTCTTCAGACATCTCCACCTGAAACTAAGGCAACAAACCAACGCCTGCTTGGATCACTGGTGTCATTGCTTACATAAGCAACTACTAAAGTAAAAATTAAATAAAACAGGAGCAGCCTGTGAGTTTTATCGAAAAATAGGAAAAGCTTGGCTGATGCAGCTGGATGTTCATAATGCTATTAATTATAATATAATATAAAAAATAAGTGCAATTCTGGTGGCATTTCTTCAACACTAATGGCAGGAGGGTAGAAATGCTGACATTACATTTCGCTTTGGGCAGTAAAATGCTCACCGCTGCCATTCGACCCCCTCCCACACCTGTCATGTTCATTAGTCACAAAAAGGTGCTGCGTGATACACACACCTGCAATTACATGCTTACTCAGAGGTCCTCTCTGTACTGCCTGGGACAACACAAAGTAAAAATACAATACAATATTAACACAAAATACAACTTAGCTAGTAAGAAGAGAAGTGCCAGAACAAGAAAAATGATAGAATGGCAACAATAATAATCTACACCCTTGGGCTGCCCTTGAAAGGCGATCCTGTACATATGATTTATTTTATATATATTATATATATATATATATATATGAAATATTAAACAAACGATGATGCAGAAATAAGGCCTTATCTAGAGTCTTGAGTTGTCACTGGTAATAATCTTCTCTCGGTTCTGGACGGACTTGGGCCCGAGTTCTCGTGTGGTTCATGTTAGGTTCCTCCCCCTGAATCTTTCCTTAACAGTTCAGTCACACGGTTCTCTAGACCAGCGGCTCTTAAACCTTTTGTCTGGAGGAGCCCGAAGAAGCACTGCCCTTTCCATACAATAAAATTTGCCTGGGGGCGGGGGGGGGGCGGGAGGGCTGATCCTGGAAGTCCGTCGTGTGACCTCCTCTCAGTTACCTGCAGTGTGAGCCCCCGGGGGAACAGGGGAACACACCCCACAGTGTGACAAGCACTTAGGGCCAGTTCAGCAGGACGTACCATGGCTTCTGCAGAAATATATTGCTGACTAACTGGAAAAGGAAAACACTAGCAGGTGTGATACAAGAAAAAAAAAGTTATTCTTTAGAAAATCTGAATGAGAATTTTCACACCTATGGGCGAGTATTATTTATTATTGCTATAGATGTCTTTCCATTAGGTCATTTCCCAGATATTTCCTAAATAAATTTTGCCTCACAACATTCCCTGGATCTGATTTCCTCATTATAAATAATAACAGCAGTTATTAAAGTAGTAGGAGTAATTATACACGTCAGGGGTTGCTGGATGAATGAGCCTGGACAGGTTGCTATGAAGGTGAAACTCTCCTCCGTTGGACTCGGACCACACTGCGGCGCCCTTCCAAAGGAACGCGGGAGAGACGGCGCCGGGTTCCGGAGACCAATCGCAAGCCACTGCGGGAGCCGAGTGCGCAAAACACGGAACCCAGCAGAACCCGATCAGGCAATTACGCAAAGCCGTAGGACCTTTTAAGAACCATCCTGGATTTTTATACCAGAGAAGGCATGTCCCAAGAATCAATATGCTCAGCCTTGGTCTTCTGCAAACAATAGAGCAGAAGAATACGGTGCCTACTAGTGGTCACAAGGTGTAAAACAAACAACAAATACTATATCAATATAATGGAAGGGGGCACTGCTAAAAACAGCTACTTTTGACCGAGGTATGTCCTTGCAGGACTCAGGAGTATAGGAATAGGTAAGAGGTATAAATAGGTCCTAATTTAGATACATTAATGGTCCCCTAATGGTTGTGAAGCGCTTTAGCCAATCAATACTCAACAATCCAGCCCATTCTCAGGCCTGAACAAACTCTGGCAACAAAGCAGAAAGGCTTCCATTCTCATCACATTTCCCCCCGATATTTCCTGAGTTTCAGAGTAAATAAAATGGACTTACGAGGATCAAAACCAGCCTGGTTATCGATTCACTGGATATTGGGGTGTCTGTGCTATCGACAGACTGCTCACTTTGCTTACATGAATGGACACGCGTTTCGCATGTTATTATATGACTGAGAGTCTCATGTCACGCACAATTTGGTTGATACACATCTTACTGCTTGGCTGCACCCTCCGGTTTCTATGCCCTAGACACACACGTGTGTGTGCGTGTGTGTGTGTGTGTGTGTGTGTACAGCAGTTAGAATGACCCCCACACCTTTGCACCTGGCTTTCCTCAGAATGGAACAGATGGAGGCGGTGTTGTCAGCCCTCAGCCAATCTCTCTGCAATCGCTGTCTGACGGGCAACAACCTGCAGGGGAAGAGGAGAAAAAATTAGGATCATTTTCACATTTGTCTCACCCCTCTCCTTTCTTGCACCGTGTGGTTCTCCTTAATGATAGTGCACTGAAAACCTCTTACAGACTGATAAGAACAGGGGCTGCTGTCCGCGGAGTAACCAGCCTGTCAGGCCACAGGGTGCAAAATCTCTTCCTGCTGCCTGCATTTCGCAGCAAAGTGCCAGGTTTTACCAGACAGAATTCGTACAACAGCCAACTGCATACAAACTGCAAAATCAAGCCAGAAGTCAATGTGCCAAACAAGGGAGCAGACAAACATTAACGCCACCCTTTCGTGTTTAATCCATCCCCCCTCCCCCCCTTTTTATGAAACGCCACGCTGGAGAAAACAGAAGGTCAAACACAAAGTCTGTGTAGCATGTAGCCTCAAATCAGCTACAAACCGCTGATAAAATTATACTGATGGATGGAATGATGTCATCCCAGCTGTACTGTACAGTTTCTCCCCGCTATTCTATAAACTCCTAGGTGATTACGGCTCCACTGGGTCCCTGCGTCCCCTGGTGAGGCGGCAGTGTGGTCCTGCTTCGCTCTGACTCAGCAGAGCTGCTGTGTGATACGGCGAGCAGGACCCCCACGCCAGAGGACCCAGGGCCAGAGAGCGAACCATGTGTCCTGTCGACAGCCCAACACAGACCAGCGGGAGATAGCCAGACGCGACCATCATGGAAGAGTGTGCTACATTAACACGGCCAATCAAAGCCACCATCCACCATAAAGAGCCTCTCAAAAAACAGGGAAAAATGTAACAGTAGAGGAAATGCATGATTCAACTATGCGTTGTGGTCTGCATTACTGACACTGAGGGACACAAAACTTCCTAACCATAGCACTGTCACATCATCAGCAAAAACATATTCTAATTAATTAGACAAAGCAAAAATAAAACACACACACACACACACACACACACACTCATTTGATTTCATAATGGGAACAAACACACTAATTACTTTAAACACTGCTGTTAAAAAGGATTGAGTCTCCAGGGTGGACTCAACCACACAAAAAGAAATGAAGGAATTAATTACAAACTGAAACTGCAAAGAATGCAATTTAATATATTTTCATTTTGCCATGACACGCCAGCGTCCTCAGAGCCTCCAGCCGCTCCGGGGTTAACCCCACACTATCCATCGCTTTGGGCTCAGTTGATCCCTTCAGATCACGGTGACCCTAAATTACATTATCAGGAAGCGGCAAGTGCCGTCGTTCCCCGGAAGCACCCCCAGTCGCATAGGGGGGTTCTGTCCCGCTGGCGCCCCCTCCGGGCCGAGTCGCACAGCAGCGACATTGTAACAGCCCCGGGACACGGGAGGAATGTTCATCAATTCATGGGAGCCACAAGAAAGCCAGAATTAGGAGATGAGAAAAATGCAGATGAACAGAATCACAGAAGAAAAATGGACAGTGGCCTTAATAGACTAGTATTTTTGGAAGATTGTTGCTGATTCTCCAACACTGTCCAGCTGATCTGCAAAAACGCAGCGCGCTCTGACCTGAATGAAGGTCAGCGAAGGGGAGCTCCAAGGTCATTCGGGGGCTCTGAGGCACAGACATACCAACCAGGAGCCCATTCAAGGCACATTCACAACGTCTTTAGTCGTGCCGTGCATTGGGGTGGGGGTCCGGGAAGGGGCCGGGGGGAGGACTCATGCAGGGAAAGTTAGGATCACCTGTTTGCATTCCTCAGAAGCCTCACAATGCTGCATTCTCCAAAACTGCCCGGAGAAAAACATCACATTTACATCCACGTCACACTACAGTTAAAGCCTCCACTTTAAGGGAGCCAACTCTAACCCATCATACTGGGAAAGGTTCATGGGCTGTCATTTTAAAGTTTGATGCATCTCATACAGAGTCATGACATCCAGAACTAATGGTGGCAAAATGGCTCAGACTTCACAGATTAGGAAATTAAGTTCAAATTAGTCAATATAATTAGTTTGAAATGATTGGTTGATTCTATTATAAACAATTTGATTCAGCTAAAAGCTGTGAAAGTCACAGTGTCAGAGTTAATGCACAGCAGTGCAAAATTTTGTTTGATTAATGTAAAAATGCATGAAATTATGGGCCACAAACAACGTTGTGGTGATGAGAGCGGATTAATGTCTTCACATTTCTAACTCAGGATACATTTTACATGGATTTAAAAATAATACTAATAGTTTGAAATGACATATAACAACAATTTGGGATTGACATTTATCATCATGGGGGTAAAATCACAAGTTGCAGCTTCTATCATAAAAAAAAAAAAATATTGTCACTAAAAATCTTTTTCCTCTTTCTGTACATATTTCAAACTGAAGTGATATAATGATATACAATTCAAAACAAACCTTTTAGCTAGACTAAATGCCCTTTAACATACTTTGTAGATACTTCAGATTATATATATATATATATATATATATATATATATATATATATATATATATATATATAGCACAAAGTTTCACTAATCTAATCATTCTTCCTGACTGAACAGTATCTAGAAAACAAACCGCATTTCCAAGGCAGCTAAAGTTCTACAAGGAAAATTCTATCCAAGCCAAACCAGAGGCTTTTTTTAAACTGACCCTGACCACAGAGTCAAAAGCAAATTATAAATCCAGTACTAAGTGGCAGCTTCTGTGTTTTTACAGTCTGTTTATACCTAATGGAAAGAGGGCTCTTTTTCAGTCAGGCACTCACAAGGATCACTCGCGGGTCCTTCTGGCATCCCCAACATCTGTAGGACTTCTGTTTAAGGACCGATCTCACGGCTGCCGGGCCGGAGTCTCTCGTTACTCCTGTTCATTTTGATTCAGAGTTGATTCATTCTTCCGTCACCAGGTTCACCAGAGCACAGCCCTTGGGCCGATCCGGTTTCGGAATGGCAGGAAGTACAAGCAGATCCTGCCTCCCGCCCCTCAACACACCTGTCATACGACGCAATACGCATTCCTATCCTGGGGACCACTGGCGTGGCCAGTAAGGTAAACCAAAAGCCGGGGAAATCTAACTGACCTGGGTGTACAGTACAAGCATGTCTTACCCACTCAGTCACAGATCACCGCAGCCAAATGGTATCCCCAGACAAAATGACACAGAAAGACGCTGACACGGGAATTTTAAAGGACCGTAAGGAATCTCAGGCATGCTGCACGCTGTGTAACCCGGCTGTGTAATTAGCACCGGAAAAAGCAGATAAAACATGTACAAATCCCATCATATGCGAGTTTACCGACTTCAGCAACCATGCTGCTGTGAAGCAGAACAGAACAAGGACAAGAGGATACAGATTTGTCTTTATGGGGTGGGGGGTGAGTGCTTAATGGGGTGGGAAGAGGCCCTGTGGAAAATGTATCCTTAATTAGCTATAACTCGCACACTCCCCATTATTAAGGGGCAGAAGCTCCATGACCAGCCCTGTGGGGGGCCCGTTGCTGACGACGTGTGCCCGGGGGGGGGGGGAGGGGGGGATTCCTGACCCCCTGCCCCTGAGCCATCCCGTCTCCCTCTGTTTGCCGGCATGTTATCCTACCCAAAATGCCGCCTGCCACAACCACAGTCAAACCCTGACAGGCCCAGCGAGCTTGGAAACAGGAATCTGGCTGTAAATTCCTTAAACACACAGATATAAATGCAACACACACCACAGCAGCCGGGCCCAAACCAAGACCGCGGGGGACGTACAGCGACTCCCCACTTTACGATGCTCATGGAAACAAGCAGTACCTTCCTTCCTCTAACGCCGACGTCCTTCCTCACGGAAGCTCCGCATCGCTATCCTCTCAGCTCCCCCAGCAGCAGCGTCCTGGAAGCCCAGACCTGCGATTCCCAGCATGGGCAGCGCGGGCTGCACAAACCGCCGCCGCTCTAACGCCGCGTTGCTGGCCAAGCCGAGAGAGCAGCCTCTCCTAGCGCCGCGCAGCCGCCTCCCAGCTCTCCTTCTGCACGCCGCACAGAAATTACCGCCGCACTCCTACAGCATATTGTGTGGCTGCGCCGACAGGAGAGGCTGCCATGTCTCCCATTGTTCCAGTGGCTGAGATGAGAGCGTGAGAGAGCGAGAGAGCGAGAGAGAGAGAGGGAGGGAGAGAGAGAGAGAGAGAGAGAGGGAGAGGGAGAGGCAAGCTTCCTGGACTGCCAGGCCCTGCCTACTACAACAGCTGTGGGTTCCCCCCTCCAGCCTCTCCTCCCTCCCCCCCCTCGCCCACTGCTCACGCTACCGCTTGAAATTAACCCTTTAGCCGCCGGGGTCGGAGGGACCACAAAAGGCAGCCGCGGCTTCAAAAGGAACAATGGCAGGCGAGGAACAAAGCCAAAGGACCGGGCAGGAAATCCGGCCAGCCCCGGGGCCCGGCGCACGGCTCCGCCGCGAGCGTTTTCACACCCTGCTCATCATCACATGAACTGGGGACTGCGCTGCGGGTCACGATGGGGGGAAAGGGGGAAAGAAAAAGAAATCATACATTTTGGATTTGGTGAGATGTTAGCAAGGCAAGCAGCCATTTTCAATTCCAGCAATCCTGCTCAACAGAGTTACGGGGTAAAAATCCATAAGGCGACGCTGGTGTTTGGGAAGCCAGCCATTGTGATCTGGGCGACTTAACCACCTGATTACCAAACCTTGAGGGACTGGTAGGGGGGGGGAGGTGAGGAGGAGGAGTTTATTTGTGTCTTGAAAAGTGGGGTTAGCGTCGAGACAGCATGTGACACTGGACAGGTGGGCAGGACCCACGCTAGACCCCCCCGCACCGGCCCACAGAGCGTGACAGAAGGAAGACTTAGCCAATCAAAGAGGACAGAATTGTTGTGCACTGGTGTGTGTGTGTGACGAGCTGAAAGCTCCTGCCCCCCCGTGACAAAAAGGCACCTTTCTGATCCCCGAAAGGAGTGCCCAACACAGACCTTCCTAAAGGACACCCCCCCAAAGCTGCAACAAACTATCACATAAAGCAGCTAAGCCAACCCCCCCACGCCATTTACACTCAAGGAAAATTCCTCAAAATTGCTGCAATTATCCAGAAAGGGCTCTATAGTACTATAAAGACACCAAGGGTTAGGAGAAAAGTATTTGAAAGACAAAAGTCAGGGAGCTAAACGCATCCAGCGGGCAGCATAACTGGACGAGGACGTAATGAATCAATTAACCACCTACACACTTGGGCCCAGAATGAGGCTTACAGACATTTAAGGCAGGGACTCGAGGCGTGTTTGGGCTTAACTGGGGAAGGGGGGGGGCATCCCCTCCTGTGACATAACATACCTCCTTTATGACGTCAGCTTTATTGTCAAATCTGTGCCAGATTTCGAAGCATGAGCCTAATAAAAAAGAATGTGGCCGAGTGCTGCGCGGAGCTCGTAAATGCTAATGAACTACACGTCCACGTTCTGCACATTCGGCAGTCTGGAAGTCGGGCACTAAATGAACGAAGGACTGGGGGCAGACCCCCCTCCCCACACACACACACACACACACACACACGCACACACACACACACACACAGTAAACAGAACACAAACCATATATGGCCCATTTTGATTATGTTCGACCTCAGTAAACTAACAGGAAGTCGACTGATGCCTGATAAACATGATCAAAAACACTATTAAAAGGAAATCCTGCATTGAATCCTACAAGCGGCAAAGAGCATCAGCCACACTGGACCAGAGACATGCATGTGCGCCGTCATGACGACACGACCAGTACCGGGAGGAAAAAAAAAATTACTCTCAAACTGCCCAGATTCTCATATTTTGGTCTCCTGTTTCTGAAATTCCATCCTTGGCAATCCAGGGCGTGGGTGCACACGCATGTACACGGCAGGCCACACGCGCGTCTCTCTCACCGTCCTACACGTCGGACCAGTTGACCCCATTCTGAAGGATTTGTCCCACAACTGGCAGGGGCTTAAGGAATGGCTGCACCATGGTCTGAATCTTCCAGCAGAAGAGATTTAGAGCTACAAAGCACCATTGGCTCATCTGGTGTAGGGAGATAAAAATACCAAATTAAAGCATGGAATTCAGCGGTAAAGAGGGGAAATAATCTCTGCATTATACTGTAACCCATATACTGAATTTATAATGAATTGGGGGGGGGGGGCACAAATGAATACCAGCTCTGACCGGTGAATCTATTCTTCCTAAAACATTGTCCACTGAGGCTACAGATAGAGGATCCAAGAGGGGGGTCTCCCAGGATCACGGCAGCGCACCCCGTGTTTCAGTATGGGGGGTGACTGTCACTTCCCCGATAGTTAATCAGCACAGTGATGTAATAAACACAGACAGCTGGTGACCCCCCTCCCTCAAGCGGCCAGCTGAACAGACCCACAAAGGGACAAGCTGTCAGTCCCACAGCCCAGCCCTGCCGGTGCATGGCTTAATGAAGGGGCACAGGGATACAACCACCAGAAATCAGCTTCACGTCCATCAATAAATGAACATGTATACAAAGAAGCACAACACCCACCCACCCACACTCACCCAGCCACCCACCCACCTACACTCACAGACACACACACACACACACACACCAGAGTGGTGTTACATGCCTTGTGCATTACAGACTTTGTATCGCCGCCGATTCTTTGCACTTCTGCCAAGACTGAACTCACAGCTCACCCTAAATGAACCCAGCATCTTGCAACTCAAGCCGCTCACATCCAGCGTTTCTTCAAGAGGCATAAAGCACCCCCCCCCCCCCATCATTGCAGAGAGTACGGCTTTAAAGCGCAGCTTCTCCCTCCGGTCCAAATCTTTCGTGACGGTCCCTTGGCTCTCTGCCACAAAGATCCCCACAGAGTCGTTAACGGGCACGTTTTTCTAAATGAGTTTTGAAATTTATATTCCTCCCAGCGATTGGGCACGAGGAGGGATGAAGCGGCTCTTTGTTGGGGGGGGCAGAGTGTCACCCCCCACCCCCCATCCATAGCCCTCCAGAGCCCAACCTGGCTCAGTCTGCAAGACGCCGATATTCCAAATCTGGGCCCAAACCTTTCTCCTCCATTCCGCTCAGCTGTTATTACCCCCGGACCTCGGAAGCGGGGCGTGACAGAAGTGGGGGGGGGGGGGGAATATGAATGAATAAGTAAATAAGAACAGGACAGACGACTGGGCTGAAGATCAAAGTGCTGCTGGTTGTGAGGTGGGGAGGGTGTGTATGTGTGTGTGTGTGTGTGAGGATCACAGGCCTGACAATCTGCTTTCTCCGCAAAGCCTAATGCGGCTCTCTGCTGCGGGAAGCGGAGGCTGCTTTGGTTGTCGCATCCAGTTTGGACCTTAAATATGCAGCGCTGACAGGAACGGACGGCATCTGCACCTCTGCCCATCCGCAGCCGCGATAAATCACACGTCCGGCCGTAAACTTACAGGGAAAGGAAGCGTAGATAAAAAACGGCCAGCGGAACATCAGACAAGTACGGGCGGGTGAAGGAGACCTCGATCACGGAAAGCCGCGTCAATTACAATCATTGTGGAAACAGCTTTTGGATGTCTAATTTCAGTAAATGGGTGTTTAAGTTTAAACTTTACGGAACACAGGTGGCAAAAAAAACTCATTTAATTCAGGCTGATCTACCACCATTCACAAGATGCACAGTGTCGTCTGTAATGGGGGGTGTAGGTGCCAGGGGGGGGCATGTACCATTATTTGGCTTCATTAATCCCACCCCCAGTCTTTTGCATTAAAACTGACGTCCTACACCCTTGTCCATAAAAACAATGAGGACCATGCAGGTACTATGGTTGATGGTCCAGGAGCACCATGACTGACAGCTTTCCTTAGTGGAGAAGGATTGAGTGGAAACTGCATGTGGTCCACAATGTCAAACTGTAGGTCACAAGCACCTGCTCCCCAGGTTTAGCACTAATCGCTACTTTATAGCCATTATTTAGGTGTCAGTCGACGTACAAGATGGAGACCCCAGCTCACAGCACAGAAAAGTGGTTTGAACGCTGTACTGGTGGGTGCAGCTGTGTTTCGCCATAGCTGCTGGTCCACGCGAGGCGGTCCTTCAGCGAACCGTGGCGAACCTGCCAACCCCCCCCCCCCCGCCCCCCCAGGGATGTTTCGGTTCGAGGGCCTGCAGCTGTCAGACGACACCCGAGCCAACGGCCGCACACCCGACACGAAGACCTCTCCCACCTTCAACTGCCATCTTGGAAAATGGAACAAATGTAACACAGACAGCAGTTAAAGATTTAATTTTCAAACCGGCAAAACCTGTCAGCCACTGAAACGTTCTTTCCTGAGGAGAACAGTATCAGAAAAATTACTAGTATTACTATAGTAAATGCAAATGTGTCAAACTCAGGGCCCATTGCCTCGTTACATGTGACCTGGGTGAATTTGTTTAAAAAAAAAAAAAAAAAAGGTTCTAAATGTGGCATTATAATTTTACTAGGGCTGTCGATCGATTAAAAAAATAAACAAATTAATCGCACGTTGCACTGAATTAATCGTGATTAAAAACTTGTCACGATTAAGCTTGTCGTAATGCATATTTAAATATAAAATCAATCACCAAATTAATGTAGAATAATCACAAAGTATGTATATTTATGACACCGTTGTTTAATAGCATCTTTAATCAGAGAACTACACAGAGAACTTTGCAGTCTGGTAGTAGTTTGTCACTGTAGCACGAAGACAAGTCTGCCGGTTTATTTTGGTTTGTGGCTACACAATATAGCGGTTCCACCCCATAATGTACTGTGCGATGACATCAGCTGCCCCATAATGCACCGCACAGTGACATCGGTTGCCAAGTTCTATTGCCTCTGGCAAGAAAGAGTTTCATGGCATCCACGTTATAATTTAGCCCCCACACAGGAAGTAAACAAAGTGCAGCTGTGTTAATTGCGTTAACACGTAAAATATTTTAATCGCAATGATTGTGTTAATTTTGACAGTTTTACTACAGAGGGCATTTGGCACTGCACTCTTCTTGCTGAAAAATTGAATGGCTTGTGAGGGCAACTCAGAACAGACAGAATAGCTGAACGAATGTGAGATTACAGCCAGGTGAAGCTCTGTTCATACAGGCATGACAGTTTGTTGCCAGATATTGTTAATCTTACATTAGACCAGTAATCACATTTCAATGAGCACCATTAATCTTCAATAATTTCACCATGAGTGAACTAATATTTTAAAAAAAGGACC